GGTATTGCTTGCGACGCTTCTGAAACCGGCGTGGGAGTAGTGTTGTTTCATCGTTATGCCGATGGCAGTGAAAGACCATTGGCCTATGCTTCAAAAACACTAAATGACAGCCAACGCAAGTATGCACAAATTCAGAAGGAAGCCCTTTCTATTATTTTTGCCTTGAAAAAATTTCATCAGTTCCTCTATGGACGAAAGTTCATCCTAGTAACAGATCACAAGCCCTTGATATCACTATTTGCACCTGATACACCGACACCAACTCTAGCTGCAAATCGTTTAGCCCGGTGGGCGCTAATATTGAATCAGTATGATTATACCATTGAGTATCGGAAGACAACCGATCATGGAAATGCAGATGCGTTAAGTCGGTTGCCAATGGCACCGGACAAAGATTTTGACAGGGAAGAGGATGATGCAGAAACAGACACAGTCTGTATGATAAAGTCAATCAATCTCCAATTAAACAACAATGCTAAACTGTTGCAGAAAGAAACCCTTAAGGATCCAGTACTGACAACTGCGATTAGATACACCAGAGAAGGGTGGCCTTCTCGGGAGATAACCGTTACCCAAAGTACAGAGGGGTACAAGGTACAAGATTTCAAGAGACTGAAGGATTCACTTATGGTAACAAATGGATGTCTACTGTATGGAAACAGAGTGGTGATACCCTTCAAACTACGTTCACATGTCTTGGAACTGTTACATATTGGACACTTTGGCATGCAGAGAATGAAACAGCTAGCACGTACTGCTGTTTACTGGCCAAATATTGATACCGACATAGAGGACACTTGTCGCACGTGTACACCCTGTGGAGAACATCAAAACCAGCCTAACAAAGCACCTATACACCCTTGGATGCTTCCGGAAAAACCATGGAGTCGAGTACATGTTGATCATGCGATTAAGTTCATGGGTTCAAATTGGTTGTTAGTAGTCGATGCATATTCAAAGTACCCGTGTATTCATCCAACTACTTCCATTTCGACCAGCGCTACTATCAAGCTACTTGAAGAGGATTGTGCACATTTCGGATACCCACACACAC